AACAAAAGTTATCTTTCCAATTTGCTTGAGGAGCTTGAAATCACTAGAACAATCGCAGCTGAAAACACTGCTCGGGCTAAGGAGGTGTATTCAGAACAATATAATAGAAAGGCTAAAGAACCAGAATTCGCCCCAGGTCAAAGAGTTTGGCTTTACTGTCAAAAAATTGAAAAAGGCCTTTCCAACAAATTAACCAAAAAGTGGTATGGTAGCTATTATATCATCCATACAGGTCCAAATTATACCTACAAACTACGCCGAAGTTCTGACGACAAAATACACAAACCACTGGTCCATGCCAACCGTCTGAAGCCATATTTTGATCCTGCTGATCGTCCACAGTATCCTCCAGAACCATACCTCAATGACTCCAGTAACATAGATTCAGGAGTCATGGATGACAACGAAGAACCAGTCAATGATACTCATCTTGACAGCAACACTTCCCCACCAACAAGTTCAACTTACCAGGCTACTGATCAATCACCTCCACAACAGAAAGGTAAGAAGGTCAATTCCAAAACAAAGGCAGGTACTTCCAGCAACAAGAGTCCGAAGCAAAAGACCCCAACAAAGAAGAAAAACCCTGCTTCAAGTTCAACAGAAAAACCTACCAGTCCCACGGCAACAATGAAGGAAAATCATGCCACACCAGGTCCTAGTGCTCCAACCAAGGTGAATGAAAAGGTAAACAAAGGGAAAAGAGGAGTGAAAAGTAAGTATCACCAGCCAAAATCCAGAAAACAACCTGACGACAGCCAGGTACAACCTCCAAGTCCAACATCAGGTAATCAAACCAAGGATATCCCTCAGGTTTTCAATCCAGAGGACATCCACTCAATTGTTAGTTCCAAGAGAGCAAATGGCAAAATCTACTACAGAGTAAAATGGAAGGATCCAGAAAGAGGAAACACATGGGAGTATGGCAGCAGCATTCCAGACTCCATTCGGAGAGAATTTCACCTCAAAAGAAGTATGTCAGGAAAACGACGAAAACGTCCACTGAAGAATCATAAGTTTTTCGACCAAAAGGAATCAGACAATAAATCAGTCAATGTTCTGTCAGGGAATACAATGTCAGGAAATGTCGAGCAAGACAACACCAAACCATGCATAGAATTAGACGTCAAACCATATCCGTTTATTCCAAAACGCCTACGAAGAGTAGAACATAAAATAGAAAGAGTTATGGGCATTGAAATTATTCAAGGAGACTGCTTTGTCAAGGTCTTATATAAAGATAATCCTGATCAATTCACATGCTATTTTGAAAGTGTTCCTCCCCACCTCCTCCAGCGCTACCTTGATGATAGCTGGCAGGATCTCCGTAATTGGTCCTGTCTAGAAGATAATCCTCGATATGATCCAGAGGAAACACCATATTATAAATCCAAAAGGGTTATTTTTCCACATAAAGACTTTGGAAACATCAACACCTTTTTCTACAGTATTTCACTCACAGACCGTAGTCACACGGAACCATACCAGGATCAACTCGCCATATATATTGACGGCTGCCAATTGAACATATTCTTAATCAAAATACAAAATCTCCTGAATAAACGGTGCAAATCACGAAACAGCTATTAGCTGTATCTTGTTATGTTTTCTTGTGTCCAGTCTTTTCACTATGGGTCGCCAGTTGAGAACAAATGGCATCAGCCTGATCATCTGAGTTATTTGTATCACAACAAATTTTGAGTATTGACCTGATCAACCAATCTCAAAAGCGAAGTGAAATGACACAAACCAAACCATACTGCGAATCGAACCCAAACCGTACCGAAGCGAACCAAACCATACTGGGAATCGAACCCAAACTGTACCGAAGCGAACCAAACCATACTGGGAATCGAACCCAAACCGTACCGAAGCGAACCAAACCATACTGGGAATCGAACCCAAACCGTACCGAAGCAAAATAAACCAAACCCTATCGCATTGAACCGAAGGAAAATCAAAGCGAAACAAACCAAATTCAAATAAAGGAAACTTAACAACCGAAATGAACCAAAACAAAGAAAAGGCAAACCAAATAGTTACGAAAACTAACAAAGAATTCTAAAAAGGATATACACCTTTTGTATACCGTATTAGTGTAATAAACCAATGCACTTGTTATATGCACATGCACATATATGTATATATAATGCGTCTAATGATTGTATCCAAAAATAGAAGGATATTACTATTTTTCATGATATACTTTTGTAATTTGCCGCCAATACATTCTTCCTGGTCATGACACCGTTTAGTAATAATTATGTACCGATCTTTTACATCATAATTATCATATTTGTTTTATTTTCTAGTTATTACAGACAAACTGAGGAAGTATTTATATATGACATATTATTTGAACATGCTAACTCTCTTTTCTTTGTTTCCATGTAAAACCTCCATGGACACAGCCTACTATCTCACAACCCCAATCCAGGATGTGGAACTCAAGGCCTCCTACATCACCCATAAAACCACCAGTACAGAGTGCCAAGACAAGCCAGCTCCACATCCAGAACCCCTGATGACAGCATTTTTATATTATGTTTCCTTATATCAAAGAGACTCTATAATAATTATTATTCACTACTACCAGTTTAACTTTATACATTGTCCATCTAAGCCTTAATTATTTTTATTTTTACACGTTTGGGGTCCAAACTTTTTCAGACGGAGGGGAAGTTATCATGGGATAACATTTATACTAAGTTATCTTATAATAATTAGATCTACATCAAGTGCTTTTATGAGTTATCATGGTGTAATATTTATACATCATTTCATATAATTATAGTTTAGCAAGTAATAATTATCATTAGGTAAAATGCATATATAAAATATCAGTAGTTTCAGTTAAAGCTTTTTTAGATGGTTGCTAGCCTAAGGTGATGGGAGCGCGTCTTCTAGACATACTATTCAATAAGACAAGAGTTACGTCTACATAGTTTAATTGATTTGAAGCTTTTAGATAAATGCTAGCCTAAGGTATCAAGATCCCATCTCCCAGACATAGGATATTTATTTAAGTATATCTGTCATCACCTACCGGGGTATATTAGAATAACATTACTTCAATTAAGACTCATTAAGGATTAGCCCCCATACAAGCTCGTCTATAGTGACACCCTAATCTCTTTCAAAGCATCCAGTAAATATGTCAACAAGATTAGTGCCAGTCCAACAGGATAAACAGGATTTAGTATTCCCCTCTGTCTAGCCATCCATTTAGCTTAGGACACAACCAATCGTGTATCAACCAATCACATTCCTTTCTATTGTTTAAATTTTTGTTAAATACATACTGTAGGCAGGTTTTAAGCAGAGAAGGGGTTTGACTCTCTTACCAAGCAGACCTCTCTCCCACAGCCCAGAGTGTGTACCGACTCTCTGTGGCACCCTCAGTTATATTCTAAGGTATTGTAAATTGTTAATTGTTCTTGTAAATAAAATTGTGATTAGTCTCCTGTGACTCTGGCTCTTTGCTGACTAATTCCCCAAGAAAACCAGCACGTCATTTGGAAGGTATTGTTCACCCAGAACAGTTCCATGATAGCCTGATCCAATTATCCTCATATACCTGATTTTCGAACAGTTAAGACGACACTGTTAATATATCGAGGGATGAATGAATCAAAACTTAAATTTGTATTAATGCTGGTAGGTGGTGTCTTCAACAATAGAATTCAGCTCTACCCATACAGCGGTAGAAACTAACAGTTTCAGTCCACTCATCCTTATAATAATAACATATAGCAAACCCCTTAAAAATGGCAAATTTCTACTAGTCCTTTTGATACTTTAACTATTGGGCAGTTTGGCAAGGACTACAGGACTAGTGCCAATTTCTAACACTGCCCATAGGAAAAGAGTCCTCGACAAAAGCATGATCTTCACTGCCTCATCTGTAAACTTTCGCTGCGCTGGAGAGATGTTCAGTGTTTAAAATATAAAAAAATGCCAGGCTGACATCTGGTCCCACAGACATTAGAACCTGCAGGCCCTCATTAGAAACTGTAGCCTACTGTGACAAATAAATTGACATTTAAATTTACTGCAGGCCATAAGGACCCATACAAATTTGAAAATAGAGGCCCCGACACAAGAGTTACTCGCCATGGGCCTACAGGCAGGCGCTTTATTTCGAACACTGTTGATGTCGTGAACAAACAGCTGTGTATGGTGCAGTCGCCAAATTAATTCTTGCATGTCAACATTAAAACACCAAAAGAAATTGAAAGTTTGAAACCTATTCACAAAACAGGAATGTTTCTCAAATCATAACATATTTCTGAGCATTTTACAGAAATGATTACACAGTTTTACTCTTCCTTTTCATCATGACACGAGCGCCAACATTCTAAATGACAACAGACCGTTCAGGCAGATGTACATAGAGTACTTCACATGAACCCAATGTTTACAGGTTAGATTTATACACTGCCAACTCGGCAACTTTTATGACGTCATACCTCTCTTCATATAGACAAATCAAGATTAATATGGTTGTTTGAAAACAGGGTACTTGAGAAGCGATGACAACACAATCATACAGTGGTGACAACCAATGAGGACAGAGTATTTTCTGAGGGTCAAATTTCTGGGTGTTAAAAACAATCTAAGATAGACACAATCCAGCTGTTTTTTGTAGTTTATTGGTTCACCTTACTCACATACTATGTACTTGACATTCCTAGCACAGTAAACCTATACAAAATTATTTCCCCTCAAGTTTAAAAGGACGTGGACCTTGCATTGTTCTACAAACATATTGCACAACTGTTGAACAATATGGCCAAATACTGAAATAGACTTAGACATTTCAGTTCTATGCACAAATCTTCAAATGCTGAATAATGGGAGACAATGTCATTTAAATCAATACAGACATGAAGATGTTACCGGCAATTTCTATTGAACATTTATGATATGAAATATGCCTCCCGTCGTCTGCTATAACAATGTTCGGTAAGCATGTGACCTAGGCAAACGTAAAATCTCACGTTCTTCACATCTTTGACTGGTATTTTTGCCATGACTTTTCCTCTCGCAGCTCTTGCTATTATTCCGAACTTTTCTTCCACCTCCTCCTTTGCTATTTGTTCAAAACCAGTTGCAACCGTTGCTTCTATCTCGCACATGTCAATGTTTTCATTTGCTCCATCAGTCACGTTTTCTGTGGGGGCCGCCATCTTGCTGTCGCAGAATTATACTAATTCCCTTAGCACTAATCTCCAAAGAAACGGACGCGTTCCTGCACATAGATAACCTATCGAATACATTTGTATTTTTTGACATATGTATTGCATACACTAATATTGCAAGAGTAAGGTAAAATTAACCATGGGTTATAAAGACAATGTAGTTTTATTTCTGTGCAGCAATGGATTCAATGGATCCAAGCAATTCCAGAACTAAACATATTATGCATTTTATTCTACTCTGGGCTTGACATAATAGTTAATATGTGTAATAGAAAACAATAAACATCATGTTTAACAAACATCTTAACTGAATTAAATAATATGGAATAAAAAATATATTTCTTACGTGAACACATTTCATATATTTCTATGACACGATCTATACAAATAATATATTTACAGAATAAAAGCAAGAAACAAATAGACTTTTATAGATTCTTTCACAATTAATAATTTCATGATTTAAGTGTTTTCTATGCACATATTCTCTTAAAGACATTAACGGTGATACCTTTGTATTAACCATTTTCATCAACGAGTGCACGTGTTGAAATAGGGAATTATCTTCATTTCAGTTTGTGTAGATAATTTATGGCTTAATGTTTACCCTTGAAAAGATTCTGAGACTGAATATTGTATGTTGTGCACCACACTGCAACCAATATATCGCCTTTTGTTTTCAGTTAATTGCTCCAGAGAAACTTTTAATTCAACACCAGCGTAAACATTGCCGACCATCTAGTCCAGCAGATGCGCGCGGAAGGAGTAAGATTGAATGTTGTCATGCAAGTAGCTTCCGGCGGATCTCGCTTCTGGTCATGTGACTTTCACGTTGTGTGTGTTTTGATGTGTAGGAGGATTGCTTCCGCCGAGTGCGACATGAACGGTCGATAGTTCGTGAGATCGGCAGAAGAAGGAAGCTTCATACACAAACTATGCCTGCCTGAGAGGTATATCATAAGTCAAGGCGCGAAATCAGCAATGTTTGAAAATCAGGGGTCTACCTGGATTCTGTGAAAGTGTTTGTGTGTACAATATGGCGTCATGAGGTTTACGTTTAGAAAGATAGCGTATGCCGTTTTGGGGCTGTATTTTTTGGTAACGTGTTACACCGGATTTGTCCTGTTTCGGCGGAGACTATATACAGCTTACACAACTAACAAGGAGCGGATTATTCTCGAAAAGATTCAGAGTTTGAGAGGTAAGACAGTTTATATTGCCTGTCAAAATCGTTGCTATTATGACTGAAATAAATTGTTTATGTGACTTTAACAGCGTTGACAGCTCGTTGCGAATGAATGAGGAGCTACCCCATGTGATGACAGTATCAAATCTAGGCAATCATGATGGAATTTCAGATTTGATCACCCTCCATGCTGTGATAATAGACGCCTCTGTTATGAAACTACCAAGACGCCGCTAAGTACAGAGTACAGGTCATTCCCATAGAGCACTGATTGCCCACCCCTCCTCCTCTTCCAGACAGTTACACGCCTCACTGATTTCCTTTGTGAATGACATTTCACGGTGTTAACTGGCCATATTATGATATAACTCAATGTGCCAGCGATCCTTTATATTACAGTGTGTGGATGCCCTCCGCGTTGATACTATAGCTACACAACGTGTTTAGCATTCAGATGTCGTAATTGTATTTGTTACAATAAGGTTGTACAGAAACGTAAACAGACACTATTCTCATTGACAGGGAAAAGACTTGTTAATCAGATGTGACATGCTCTCGTATGTGAGGCCAAATATTCATCCATGCTGTAATTGAGTTTCACATGTTTAAATTCCATAATGGTTATATATGGATGCAGTTTTTCCGCATAAATGCAGAGGAATGCAACGTAAAGGGATTGGTGTAACAAATCTTCTCTTATCTACACAGGGATGTTTTAATAGTATTTCTCTTATCAACTGCATCTTTTCGTCACATGTTTTTCTGATTCATTTGCTCTAATCAAGTAACTGGAGGTTTTGGAGAGATATTTTTCTTTGTTCCAAACAGTTAGATTAAACTATTTATCATCTGTGCTGAAGCTGTGAGAAAGATGAGTCGAGTTTAGACATAGGATCTGTGTGTAGGAGGGGACATGAATAGCATCAGAACAGTCATTTTGGCAGGATCACGGAAGATTTGTGAATCACCATGCAGTTCCTGTCTGTTTTTAGAGGGTTTATCATTACATGTCTGTTTTGAGCATACGTTTTTGAAATTATGAGGAACAGAAATTAGACAACCGCCTTTGTTGTGCCTAATGCATCAACTGGAATGATTATCTCAAGACAGAAACTAGTCAATTCCAACAAGCAGCTTCCTACTTCCAAAATACTTGACCCTTAGCAGTACAAATGCATTTCCAGGATTGCACGCTGCTTTTGAGATAAGTGTAAGAACATACAAGCAACATGGGGAAATCTCATTATGGTGAAAGATTCCTTTACTGTTTACCTGCTAATTGGTCGTAACGATTCCTTATGCTGATTGCCAACCACACATTATTAAGTAGATGTTTATTGTTTCACATGAAGAAGCGTCAACAATGTATCATATTACCTCATGTCATTTTTTCAACTTCCGTTTGGGTGTAACAATTTACAGAACTACATTTCATTTGTCCTAAGCCAATGGCAGCACATCAATGACAAGTTAAAGTGTTGATCGTTCACATGGAAATGGTGCTAAACTCTCCATGGTTATGATAGATGTAAAATAGTGATTTACCCCCCCTCCCTCATAAATACAAATGATATTTATCCCACCTATACCTAATTTGATCGTGATATCAATCACTGGATTGTCTGGTCCAGACTTGATTATTTACAGGCCGCAGTCATATAGCTGGAATATTGCTGAGTGCGGTGTTAAACTACAAACTAATCTAATTTGAAGAGACATGAGTCTCCATTCAGACCTCTTTCTTAACTCGGTGTCAGTTTCTGATCAGCGTTACACCACCACTAGGTAATCTACTGGACCTTCGAAATTGGATTAGGTGTTAAGCCTTAAATACATCAATCATTATATCGAATAAGACGTAGGATCTAAATTGTGGCAAGGAAAAGATACAAATAATGTTGTCACAGTTGTACTGTTGCCATGATGGTATCGTAATCATACAAACTGTTGCCTTTCATATCAGTGTTTGATCTATTGCATAGGGAGAGAAGTTAACCTTGGCCCTGTTTCACAAAGCAGTCTTAGCGTTAAGATGATCCTAAATCCCATATTGTAGCACTGACAGTATTAATGTACCCCACAATCTCCCCCATCCTTAGCATCCAATTCTCAGCTCAAGCAGAATATATATACTCATCCCATTCTTAAGCTCAAGCAGCATCATATATATTCCTACCATTCCTAGCTCAAGCGGCATATAAATACTCATACCATTCCTAGCTCAAGCATCATATATATATACACATACCATTCTCAGCTCAAGCAGCATCATATATATACTCATACCTGAATGTCATCATTCTCAGCTCAAGTGGCATATATATATACTCATACCATTCTCGGCTCAAGCATCCATAATATACTCATACCTTTCTCGGCTCAAGCGGCATATATATATACTCATACCATTCTCAGCTCAAGCATCCATAATATACTCATACCTTTCTCGGCTCAAGCGGCATATATATATACTCATACCATTCTCAGCTCAAGCATCCATAATATACTCATACCATTCTCAGCTCATGCAGCATCATATATATATACTCATACCATTCTTAGCTCATGCAGCATCATATATATTCATACCATTCTTAACTCCAGCGGCATATATATACTCATAACATTCTAAGACAGCTCAAGCTGCATATATATACCCATCCCATCCTCAGCTCTAGTCTGAGAATTTTAGAGACTTGAGGTTTCTTTAATACTCTAGGGTTCTGTTATGGAATTATTTGTATTTAACATGACTTTATTTCATGGACTTTAGTCTTCAATAATCTCTAAATTGTTCTGTATTCTCCTGGCCATGAGGATCATGCACAGTTGTTAAAGCATTAAGTGCGACACAAATAGTACTAATTTCCAGCACTGATTTCAATACACAGGATTGCAATAGTTAAATGCAGGCAATAGTTACAATTATTGAATGTTTTATACTGATTTTTTTGTCCAGTAGTTCCATAAGAAAAACGGGATTTCAAAAAGCACATGTTCACTGCATACTTGAGCATGCTGTGGCTTTAGGCTAAAAGCTTTTAGTGTTTTAAGTAATGGCTGCATGTGAAATGTGTGAAATTTAACACACTTGGAGCTGACTGGCTTTTTGGACAGATTTAAAAAAATGCATCTTCAGGGCTGGCTTCTCGCTTTGTGATCTAATCAAGGCAAGCTACATACTTTGTAAGATATGGATGGGACTTTGTAGAATATGTAGAGCCCTGGTCATCAACATCATTTTCCTTGTCTTCAATCATATATCTTCTCATGAAGTTATTGAAGCATTTAAATATGAACACTTTTAGTTTTGTATTGAACATATTTATTATATGAAAATATGTTGTTTTCTAAATATGAATGTTCATATTGTTTGTAAGTGAGTGGTCAGAGTTTTGTGTTGCATTGCTCCAGCCATAATAATGCTGGGGAAATATCATCTTTGTATAATTTTGAATACATCTATCAACATGTCATTATAAGAATTCTATAGTTAACTTCAATCATAAGATGTAACTGTGACATAGAAAAATGTCTATATACTTCAGACATAATGATATGTTCAAAGGAAAGTGGTTAACTCTTTACCATGAGTAGATACTGTCTGTCTGTCTGTCTGTCACACACCATTCATTGGATGAGAAGTCAACGAGAACATTCTCCCCAAGAATGCAGCACCTTCATCACTCAGGGGATGAATCTCTCAGTCCTCCATGAATCAGTTGTCGTCCTCGTAGACCCAGTATAGTCACTGTCATGATCCGAGTGTCTCCCTTATTTTGTACAGGGCCTAATTAAGGGTTAGGTTCCTGCTGTGTTAATAGCACCATACCATGGGTTTCACCAAACTTGTTGATGCCTGTGACATGTCATTTCCCTCCCCCCCCCCCCCCCCCTTATTCATCTGTCATGCTCTTTGAATTCTGATTAAATAACTGTTCAAAACTCCTTCAAACCCAGTTTGTTCATTCATGCGAACTAGAGGTCTGAAAACCAAGAAAAAATGTTCCTTATTACATGTCACAAGATAAAAGTTGAAAGTTTTCAAGTTTTCCAAGATGTTCTAAAAAGTATGAGCGCGTGCAGCTGTTGACGTCATGCATCATCTATTTTATCTGGAAGTGATGATGTTACTATTTCCAGAGCCTGGATCTCGGCAGTTGGCAAATGTTATCAGGTGTATTTTCTGCCACAGCATTAGAAGTCAAACATGCCAGGGGACCGATAAAATTTAATGACGTATGTTGAAAACTGCCTGGCGTGGAGCGTATATTATAATTCCATAGGTAATTCTATGGTTTGCTTTTAATGTGGTGTAGAGGCAGTGTGTGAAATAATTGTTCAACAGTACTTATAAGCCAGCCAGGATTGCTAAAGATTTTTTCTTGCCAATTTGGGATTTGAGTAGCCAGATATTTTCACATGACAAAATAGAAGGAGAAATCTGGTTGCAGAGAGAGAAAATTTATTCAAGTTTCAAGAATGTTAGAAGTTCAATCTGAGTCAACATCAAACAGGTTTCTGTCACTTGTAGATCTAGTGACAAGGGACCATCACAAGCACGACAAATATTTACATCACAATTCCCTGAAATTAGCCATTCAAAATCTACTGACCTCTGTAGAAGGAAATTCCTTATATTATCATGATTATAGGTCACTAGATTGAAAATTATGCTAGCTGACAGTGATAGAAATTGGCACTAGTCCTGTAGTCCTTGCCAAACTGCCCAATAGTTAAGGTATCATAAGGACTAGTAGAAATTGGCCATTTTTAAGAGTTTTGCTATATGTTATCATTATAAGGACTGGTGGACTAAATATGTTAGTTTCTACCCCTGGCTGTTCATGCTACCTAGATTTTATTTTCACTAACCAGACTGATAGACTATGAAGCCAGTAAATGGACACACAGACAGACAGTTATTATTCTACAAGTTGTTGTATTATTGTAGTACATGTACTTATTGTCTAGTATATACAGTAAACTATGTTTATAATGAACACGCTTTTAAC